TAGCCAGCCACAACACCATGAATTCCTTAGGGAGGTGCCAGCCTCATCTCCTTGAACTTCCCACGCTCCTGTTGGGGGCTAAGAACACGCTTATCTCCCTGAGCATGGCCTTCATAAGTCCATTCCATCACAGCCTACCTCTGAAATGATAACCAGGATTGAGCAACCAATATTTCTAAGGGTTGGTACATGACACATTCCACCATAACCCCCACCCAGAAGTTCCAAGATCCTTCCAGATTCCCTCCTGGCCATTATTCGCTTTGGATGTGGTTCCACCTCATATGAGAATATCTCCCAAGACCACCAAGGCAAAGGTCATTAACCTTGGAGACCCCTTGATGGCAGTGCTCTAAGATTAAAATGAGGTTCTTGATGTTCTCTGAGCTTGGTTGTGTTTTTTTGCAGGCGTTTCACTACCAGGCTAGGTAGCATCATCAATGTTTCTTTGCTGATGGTTGAGCAGCCAGCAGCCAGATATGTAGGCAACAACACCAGATACACAATCAGGGAAGAAAAAAAATACAGGTAATCCTCACTTGACTACCACAATAGGGACCAGAAAATTTGTTGTTAAGTGGGGCAGTTGTTAAGCAAGTTTACAACCTTTATTGCAGCGGTCATTAAGCGTATCACCAAGGCCATTAAGCAAATCACGCAGTTTCCCATTAATTTTGCTTGCCGGAAGCCGGCTGGGAAGGTGGCAAGTGGCGATCACATGACCCCAGGATGCTGCGACCGTCGTAAGGTTGCCAAGAGCCTGAATCGCAATCAGGTGGCCATGGGGGTGCTGCAATGGTTGTAAATGTGAGGACCGGTTGTAAGTCCCTTTGTTGTAACTTTGAACGGTTGCTAAAGAAATGGTCATTAAGTGAGGACTACCTGTATCCCAATCAAGGAAGGAACCAGATCCCAACCAAGGCTGGCTGGGCAAGCTGTTATATATAAACACCCAGCAAATTCCACTCCCCCTCACACTGACGTTGTTACCTAGCCAGGTCATGAAACGTCTGCAAGAAAACCATCAAGCTCACAGAGCATCAAGAACCCAACCATTCAACCCCAAGCTACAGATATTCTCTTCTGTTGGAGATTAAAGTTAATGAGTCTCCGTTACTGAACCACAGGAAACCCATAGATGAATAGGTCCAAATACAAATTGGGTGTCTTCCCTTTTCATCTCAAAAGGGTTTATTCTGTAGCCACCCCTTCCTTTTTAACGCCAGGCACGGTTGCTAAAGGTTGCTAATCAAGACCCAAGACACAAATATGGAAATCTGGATCCAGCCCCTCCAGAAATCAATTTTGCAAATAAACAGATTAGGCCTCTGGCTGGAATCTCCAGCTTGCAAATATTTGTACCACCAAGAACCTCAAACCCAGGGGGGAAAAAATGGCTTCATTCACATTTAAATGCAGACGAATTTCATTTCACGTTTTCAAGCCAATCAAACTGAAGCAAAGCTCATTTTCAGAATTCAGGCCTCCCAATTTTGGAATGTCGCTTGCTCATTTAAGTAGCACATATTAGAAAAAAGGGTGTGTAAAAAAGGCAAACGTTCTTGGAAGGGATGATTAAAATGTGTTATATGGAAATCTGTGAAAGTGGTGTATATGAGGCAACATGGCATGCAGTCACATTGGCAAATGACCAAAATGTTTATGAATTGTGCAAAGTTTAAACAAATCTCCAGTGCAACGAATTAGATTTCACAGATCTGTGTTTAGAAAAAAAATGTTGACTATGTTGGAGATACAAGAAATTTGAAGGCATCAGCAATGTCCAAGCTTAGGACTCCAGCCCTGTTTTCACACACACACACACACACACACACACACACACACACACAGAGTAGATGCAAGTTTCATTGCAAACTTTGGACACAGCCCTCGATAACCTCTAATTGGTGAAAATATTCTTACTATGGTGAGTTCCTGGAAGAAAGTTAAGATTTTGAATTGTTGAAGTGTTGCTAAACTATTTTCCAAGAAAGTGAGTGTGCGTGCATGTGTGAGGAACTTCGAATTCACCATCACGTGTTTTTGTGTACCAAATAGCAAAAATGGGCTTAAATGAAATGGGTCCCTTCTCAGCCTTTGAATTAGCATAAAAGACAGGCAAGACGCTGTGAGTGTGGATGGCCGAGGCTCACTTCGTTGTTTAAAAACCTTGGAGGGCTGGTTCATCCCTAATGTAGGCCTGCTACTTAATTATGGAACAAAACTTTTCTCCTGCCTCCTAAATTCCCCCCTTTTTTTTTCTTGCAGGAATTTTGCTATGAGATAAAGCATGGAGACCTGGCCAAGAAGACCTTGGAGGTTACAGTCTGGGATTATGACATTGGCAAATCCAACGACTTTATTGGTAAATCTGGGCTCCCAAGGGAGATTGGTGGGGGCTGAGGATCAGGCCCTTGGGTGCCCTCCACACAGACTCTCATTGGCTCTGATTGTATTACCATCAAACCTTCCCAGCCATTTTTCAAACCCCCTTCTTCAATAAGTCCCGCCCAACAGTACTTATGGTCCAATTAGGCCTAGCTCCTGCAGAACCTCCCTTCTGAATGATTTTTAGCATGCTGGCTGTGGAATTCTCGGAGTTGAAGTCCAGACCTCTTAAAGTTGCAGGGGCTGTGAAATACTATGATAGATGGATGGCTTGTGTTCAAGCATTAAAATAACCTTTGGAAGGGAATCTGTTTGGCAATTAAACCCACCTGGGCCAAGATTGCCCCAAGAGTTCCTACAGGGTTTGGGGTTTCCCCACATATTCTTGTTTCCTGGGGCATTAACTTCAAGGGGCCAAAGTAAACAATGGAGAAAAATGATCATGTGGATGTAGGGCTGAAGAAATCATGGAGCGGGATGCTGAACTGAACCTTCTGCCCCCAGACCTACAGAGTCTTCAAAGACCTTGAGACAAATTGAAGGAAGAGGTCTTCATCCTGCTCCTTCTTGGATTTAGGCTAGGTCCGAATTCTAATCAAGGAACAACTCGTGATTTGTGGTCTTCCTGTGACGTCAGCAATCTGCTGCTTCAACAGCTGGCCCGCTCTAGCTAATGGAAGGGCCGGCTCTTGTACATGCGTGAGCCTATGAGATTGTGGCTCTCTCTTCTGATCACCCCAGGTACCTGACTCCGTCTGTTCCTCCCATTTGTGCATCCAGGTGGTGTGGTCCTTGGGATCAATGCCAAAGGAGAACGGCTGAAGCACTGGTTTGACTGCTTAAAAAACAAGGATAAGAAAATTGAACGGTGGCACACGCTGACAAACGAACTGCCAGGAGCTCTCCTTAGTGACTGACTGCTTGGGCCAGAGACCTGGGACATCATGCGCCAAGCGTCAAAGGAACAGATGGCCTTGGACTTGGTTTCTTTAGTGCACACTATTCAGCGAGGGGCTCCCGAGGCAGAGGCAACAAAGGGGCTTGGTTGGGAAGCTGGTCGGGCTCACCTTCCGGGGACTCCAACCAGAAGCCATTTTGGTTCTGGGCGGTCCAGCAAACCAGCCCTAGAGATTTTTACAGGACGCCTTGAATCTCCTCCTGCAGCAAGCTGTGGTCTGCGTGTGTATGTGTGTGTGTGACGTGCGTGTGTTTGTTTGGGGGAAAAGTAGACCTGCATGCATTACAGTTGTGATTTATTTGATATACTGAATTTAAGGCTTGGAGTGGCCGCTGAATGCCCGGCGTCTAAATAAATTTCCACGGGTTTATTGACTCTCCAAAAGAAGACACAGTGGATTCCATTTCTGAGTGTCTGGTGATTTGGGGCAGGGTCTTTTCCTGAGTTTAACGTTCCCAGTGATTTTAGTACTTGGTTTGTGTGTGCGCGCGCGCGTGTGTGTGTACGCACCTATACATGTGTGTCTGTGTGTGCGCAGGTGTGCACGAGAGTTTGCTTTTCTTTGGCCTCCCTAGTGTTTTAGCTGCCCTTCCTGACAATCTGTACAACACAACAAAGGGCTGTGTCACTGATTACCCCCAAGAACGTGTCCGCTCCTTCTGCCTTGGCTCTCATTTAAAAAAATCCAAGAGGCTCTCTAAAAGAACAGCCCACGATTCCCCCTTTGTGCAAAAGAAGCACCTCTGTTCTGGAATGAGAGGTACGTCTTCTCTTTTGTCCCTGGTTATACGAGGGAGCCTCGCGTTATTGTCTCTGTACGCAGCTCCACGCTGTTGAAAATCCAAGCTGGCTTTGTGGGTTGACTTCCAACAGGGTGTGTTTCTTCTGTCTGTGCAGCCACCCACAGCTTTTGTTGAATGCAGGTCTAGAGCAGGTCTTTCTGTTACTTGGTAAAAGTTTTCATCAGAGCCAGAGAACCCCCAAGGTGGGTGCCCTCAATTACCTTCAAACATCGGATGTTTGGCCAGGCCAAGCATCCAGTGTGTCTAAAAGGATAACATTTGGGCTTCTCCCAATTTTTTTCTTCTGATAGCACAATTCAGATTCTCTGGATCAGGAGTCCATTTCTTTGCCTTCGTTTTTCATTTTTTTCTTCTAAAACACCTCTATTTATCCGGACTGCACGCATTGTCCTATAAAAGGGGAAGGAGAGCAAATTAGAAGTGCAAATGCTGTGAATTAGTGCTACTACAGTTTGATCTGGGGCCAAGAAATAATGTGCAAGACCCCCAAACGTGCACAACCTTCCAATCATGAATTTGATTGTGTTTCCTCAGAAATGTCATCTCTATTTAGTTATGTGTGTTTTGATTTGTTTTGTTTTTGGCATGAAATACACATTTTGTACACTTCCTTTAAAATTCTTCTGCTCGCTCTCCAACAGTTTTTACACCCATTTTTATGGACATCCTAATTCCTGGACCAATTATTTCATGATTTAAGCGCACCAAAAATATTCACTGATTGAAATACATCAAAAATACTGGATGATTTAAATACATCTACATATACCCCACCAAATTTAATTATTTAAGTATATTTGAATGTATCCACCATGCAGGCAAGAGGCACTAATATCCGTCCAATAAATAAATAAGTAAAATAATTTTCCGCTGTTCCTGTTCCGGCCCCGAATTCCAACAAATCAAGCAGAGCTCAACACCTTCTGGGTTTTCACCTGTAAGCCTGAAACGATGTTTACGTCAGGCATAGAAAGCAATCATCTGGGAGACGCTACTCTCACATGTCGTATGTTAATATTGTACCCTGTTAGGATCCTCTGTGGGTGGGTCAAAGAAGGCAAGGTGGCCACCGTGACCGCATGATCAAAGCCTGTCCCTTTAAGGACCACCATCTTGACTCTTTTGACCCACTCCGGTGGATGCTCCTGTAGCCTCTGGTTTGGCGCACCTTAATCTTGGGATCCTATTTCAGTGGGCAAATTCTGTTCCCCATACAAAATCTTTTACCTACGTAGGGCAAACTTTAAACTTGATATGGGAACAGCGAAGGACCATTATTCTTCCAAGGTGTGCTTGGAATGTGGAACAGGCGGCCCCGATCCATCTGGCAAGAGCAGGGCTGTGCCTTTTTCTTCCCGTCACTCGTTGCACGTTGTGTAAAGCGCATCTCCTTCTGCTGGTTTTCATACCCACGTTTGTTGTGCATTCTTCTCTTTTGTATCGAAGACTTTTTTTTTCCAGCTGAAGCTCTGTATAAATCAACATATACATAGATATCATTATACAGCATATAAATATATAAATACACACAAATTAAACGAAAGACATTATTGCATGCCAGTGGGTGGTTCTCATGCAAAAGACTTGTTAAATGTTTGATACCAATGTTTTGCTACGATGCGGTCACTGCTGAAGACAGTCGTGACTACAACTTCAGAGATAAATTTTGTATTCCAGTATTATTACGTGTACCTTTTTTTTTTTTTTTTGGTTTAATCTTTAGAACCTCAAATTTTTTCTTTTTTTAAAACCATGTGCATCTATGCACACACTGTGGAAGGTTTCCAAAGCTCATACTCAACATTGGTAAAGGCCATTGTGAGAACAAAGAACCTAAGAAAAGTCCTTGTTGAAAGTCTGTGTGGCTTGGTTCCTAACAGGCAAGTACTGATTGATTATGTGTCATTGATTATGTGCTAACTCTTAGCGACGACATAGATGGATTTTCTCCATGATGGTCTGTCGCCAACCTGGCCCTTAAGTTCTTCCAATGGTGCCCCCATCGCTATTGTAACTGAGTCCATCCCCCTTCCTGCTGGTCCTCCTCTTCTCTTTCCTTCCACCTTTCCCAGCATCAGAGCCTTCTCCAGAGAGCTGGGTCTTCGCATCATGCGTCCAAAATAGGATAATTTGAGCCTGGTCATTGGTGCCTCGAAGGAGAACCCTGAGTTGATTTGTTCGATGATCCATCACTTTGTATTGTCGAAGGCTTTCACGGCCGGCATACGATGGCTGGTGTGGATCTTCCGGGCT